CGACTGATTTCGGTGGAAACGATTTACCACAGTGAGGAAACCGCTAGGCGTGCGCCAATGGTAATAACAGGAAAAGGAGGGGGCCCCCACAACCGTCTGGGTTACGGTAACAATGGTTCTACGGACTGCGGAATGTCTAATCCCCTTTTAAGGAACAGGTGTCAAATTGTCCCCTCCTGACAAGTTGTTTCCATTCACAACACGCTTTTGTTTCCAGATGTCATCGAATCGGTCAGACGAAAATGGTGAAGGTCTACCGGCTTGTTACTGCAAACACGTACGAGAGGGAAATGTTCGATAAAGTATGTCGTTTGGTCTACTTTAGTCTTTTGGTTTTATCGGCATGTTTCTTATACGAATACAACCAGAATTCGTTTCAGGCATCGCTAAAGTTGGGTCTGGACAAAGCTGTGCTTCAGTCAACAACAGCCCTCAAAGAGAGCAGCACATCGCTCAGTAAGAAGGACGTGGAGGAGCTACTGAAAAAGGTGTGTCTGGCGTGGTAGAACGGCGTTTTTGTCTTGTTTCCCGTTTTCAATCACGCCACTTATCTCTAAATTTAGGGAGCATATGGATCGATCATGGATGAGAATGTGGACGAAGGTAGCAAGTTCAGTGAAGAAGATATCGAAACCATACTTCAGCGAAGAACCACTACAATTACACTAGAACCGGGGCAGAAGGTGCGTATACTGAACACAAGATTGTTATAGGTGTAGGAAGAAAGGCGGTGTACAGTATCCCCAAAAATTGCACGTGAAAATAAATGTAGTCTCCGTCAATGCAGACTATTGGGAGGAAGGTGAGGCCAGATAGCGAAAGCTACGCTAGTTCCGCTTTCCAGCCTGCCAGGGGCTGTCAAGGCGGAGACAAAGTGATGTTGAGTGCACTCGCTGCGCTCATTTCTGGGCGCAGTTTGGGTACTGTATATAGCTTGTCTTCCTGAATTTATAGTTTCTATTGAACTTAGTTTTCTGAAATTGAGTTTTGTGGAGAGTTTGGCAGTGGCCGCGGTCTAGACCGAAATCAGTGCGTGTTTCTGCGAACGAAGGCATTGATATTTTTCAGGGATCGCTTTTTGCCAAGGCAGCCTTCAATTCTACTCATAACCGTGGAGATGATATTGACATCGACGATCCAAATTTCTGGACGAAATGGGCTGAAAAGGCGCAGGTATTTGTTTTTTTATCTGTTCGACGCAGTTCGGCTTGGGGGGAGGCATTTTGCACTTTCGCTGCTTTCCACTGTCATGTTCGTTGCTTTACAGGGAGTTGACAGGTGTTCTTTACAAGATTCGACAAGGAGCCTCTACAATTTTCGACCATTATAACATTAGGACCTCACAATTGCTCACAAATCTCTATAGGTGGCTCGAAAGGAGAATGAGAAGCAGCCAACATGCAAATGCCCCCCCCCCTTCCCTCCTCTCCTACCCATTAGTCGCCGAATTGCACA